TTGTAAAGCTCAAATTCTAATGTGTATTTTAATTTTTTTTATTTTATTTTTTTTTTTTAATATTTTATTTTTATTTATTTATTTATATTTTTAAGTATTGATGTTAATAAATAAATATATATATATAATAGTTGGCAAACCAATTGAAGTTACACAGAATGACAATCCTAGTGAAGAAGAAATTCTTAAAGTACAAGAAAAATATATTGAAGGATTATATAATATTTGGAATGAATATAAAGATATTTATGCTACCAATAGAAAAAGTGAATTAACTTTAATAGAATAATTATTAACATGATAATGATTGTGATAAAAAATCAACTTAATAAAAATAATAAATTTTGGGTATACATATAGTTTTAAATTTTGTTTGTTATTTTTAGAAAATCATTTTTTTAATAATCAAAGAAATACTTCTTGGGATTCTATTCTTTTAATTCTTGTTGATTCCATAAAACACACTCTTGAAATTTAACTTTATTTCCACCAAATATATCTAAAGCACTTTTTATTAACAGTTTTAATATTTATTTTTTTTAAAAAAAAATCATTAAATTTAGGAATTATTTACCTTCCAAATGTTAGATCAACTTTACCATTTGATAATCTATCAACTAATGCAAGATCTTTGATTGCTAAAAGAATAAATTTAATAAATCTACTTGATTTTATTTATATTTATATTATTTTTAAAAAAAAACTTACAATTTGCTCCACCTGCATAAGTTGTTGGAGTATTTACCCATTCTCCTAAACCTAAAAATATTTATTTATTAGAAAAAAAAAATCAAGATATTGTATGCTTTTTAACTTACATTCAACTAATTTGGAATCAATTCCTTGGCATAATCCTTCAACATCTGCTGAATGTATTAAAAATTCACTTTTACATATTTATATAATAATGGTTTAGTTATTTTATGATGATAGTAATTATTATTAACAATTATTAATTAATAGTATTTACCTGCAATAATTCGATAATAAATCTATAGATTCTAAAAATATATAAATTTTTGAAAAAGTTAACAAAACAATAATAAATAAGTATACTATTTTTTAGATAAAATTTTTTATTAACCTTTATTAACCTCCATATCTGTTATAGTTTGCCACTTATTCATTGCAACAAACCATTTATCATCAACTTTTCTACAACTAATAATTATAAATTAATTAGTTAATTTTCATAAAGAAAAAACCACATAAAAGTGTTACTATTATTATTATTATTATTATTATTATTATTATTATTATTATTATTATTATTATTATTAT